TCTGTATAACAGAAAACTAGGGGGGATAAAAACAAGGTAGGAGTGCAGAGTGTTCAGGGAGGAGAGCAGCGGTGTCGGATCCTTCGGAGAAGTAAAGAGCAGTGAGAACTGACAACCAGCCTGCCTCCCTTGGGCCAGATGCACGTCACTGGTGACCTCAGCTGGAGCGGGTCGGTGGCCGGGTTAGCGTCCTGTGGCTGCTCATCAGCCCTGAGCCTGGGCCTTTTCAGTATGTGAACAGGAGGTACTGTCCCCCTTGTGGGTCCCGCCTTAAATTCCCTCTTTCATGAAGAGCATCGCGCGAGCCCAGCACGGTAGCCGTCACCCGCGAGGTCTGCGGTCAGCACCGGCCCCCTTCCCTGGCTTCTCCGTGCGCTCTCAGGCCACAGCCCCCTCCCCTGATTCGCTGCCTAAAGCACATAGTTGGCTCCGGCAGTTCCTCGGGTTTGAAGGAGCTCGTAGTTTTCAGGGCCAAATTCATTCTTTTAAGCGTGTTTCCTCTCATGTTCTGTGATTCTTATGGGTGAGCTAGTTCTTTGAGCAGTGACAGGTGATAGTCTGGTTGCCAAAAGCTGACCGCTCTTTTGGCAAGGTTATGCAGGTAAAAAGAATCGTCTGTCCATCTCCAGAGGTGACTCGGCTGCTTCTCCACCGAATTCAGCGTGTTCCCTCCCACAGGACAGTGTCCACATGCATTCCGCTTCTCGTGCGATGTGGCCGTGGCATCAGCAGTCGAGGGTGGGCTGAAGTGCGCTGTGCGGTGCTCACCGCCCCCCTTAGCATCGGTGAGCTCAGCCCCGATGTCTGCTTGGCACAGACTACAGATAAGTTTTTCAAGTGTGTTTACCCTTGGCTCCTTGAAGTGAGCATGTCACTGAGGTCCTGGGAGGAGCTTTCTGGGGGTCTGAGCACAGCAGACAGCACGGGACAGCTACGCTCACTGAATGAGATTAGCTTCGGTTTGGAGGTCTGACTTCTATGAGACAGGACCTGGCTGGAAGCAGGTGTGCAGAGCAAGTCTGATTTATCATTCATGTTTACTGAATTCCCTGATGGCTGGGTGCAATTTGTGTTTACAGTAAAAATAACAGCAACTAACACTTTCTGGGTGCCCCATAGGTGTCAGGCACTGTCTGAGCACTTTGCTACGTCGGCTCCTGATAGGCTATGAGCTGGGGACAAGCACCGTGCCCATCGTTAATAAGGAAACTGGAATTTGAAGACACTAAGTCATTTGCCTGGGTTGTATAGCTAGAAGACGGGAGAGCCGGAATTTGAACTCAGACCCCCTATTTTGAGACTCTCTTTTCTTCATCATTCCTCTGTACTCATGATATGCACACTTGTTTGTGTTACACATTTTGTATTGCTACAAGTGCAGCTGGAGTTCGTAACGGGAAATGAGATGTGGTTCTGGTGAAGGGCGGCCAGTAGCTGGGTCATTCATAGGCAGCTTAGTATCCAGAGGCCGAAACTAGTATCCGCGCAGCACTCTGGGATGGTGCACAGAGAAGGCTCTCGTGAGCTGGAGGACACACCCGCGCGCGCTGTGAGGGGGGCGGCCACGTATAAGCACATCCGAGTTCTGATTTGTCAGCAGAAGCCAGAAATGTGGATTTTAAATGGGAAATGTCCATTTTAAAATAACACCTTGATGTTGGTGACCCTGCTTTATCCACGAATGGTTAAATCACACTCTTTATAATACGGACTGGATTTTCCTGCAGTGACCAGCCACCCACAAGGCTCAGTGGCTTAAAATGAACGATTACTTCTCACTAATGCTACGTGTCCAACATAGGTCAGCAGGGAGTCTCGGCTCTTTGAGTGTCACAGAGAGACAGAGGGAGGGAGGCTTTATTTGGACACATGTTTCACATAATAGTACAGTAGTGAGAAGAGGACATGTGGCTCAGGAGCTGACCCGTAAAGCTCATTACAGAAGTGACACAGACACTTAGACTCACATCTCGTTGGCCACGGTCTGTCAGTGACCACACTTAACTTCCCAGGGGGTGGCGGACCACAGTCCCAGTCCTTCCAGGGGCTGAGAGGAGAAGCAAAATATTTCTGAATATCCCCAGTAACTACCATAGATCGACATACTCTGGTTTTTAAGGCAGGGATGTTAGAATTTTTCCTAAGGGAAAATACAATTTTCAGAGATCTCAAACAGAAGTTAACCCCAAAAAATCGCTTGGTTCTTGAAGGATTCAACTTGACTTGTCTGGAAAATTCATATTTGGCTGAATATGGAGTAATGCCACTTTACTGTGTTTATTTAAACACCATCTTTTAGCTGATTAGGAAATCATATGCAGGAACTGTGGAATAGTCCTTAGCTAAAGGGATGATTTACACATGAGTCTTTATTTCCGAGAGTACTGCTCACATATTTTACTTATTTGTTTATATTATCCCCCGGCTTATGTAACTTGTCTCATCAACTACACTGTAGGATATGAATCTTGTCTTACTAATTTATCTTCTGTTGTGCCTGGCTCTATATAAATTGGTTATTTAATAGATGTTAACCAATTTTACTGATGTGTTTATCGATTAGTGGCTTTTAAATCATTACAACTAGAGATTTTGACTTCAGGAGATGTCACAGAGGCTGAAAACACTCCAGGAAATATTTAAAAAGTTGCTTATTGTTCATTATGATGAGGTCTGAGAACCGAAATTCAGTAGTTCCTCAATTTCAAGGGCAGTTCTGGCTTCTACCCTATGAATCTTCAGGCAACCAGTCCTTTTTTCAGATATTATTTTTCTGTGATGTTTTCATATGCTTTTCCTTTGGCTGTAAGATTTGGATGAACTGTAACTTAAAAAAAAACTCTGAACAAATAGAAGTGTTCAGGGAGGTAACTGATTGCCCAAGATTTTGGAAAGTTCTGAATACTCTTCAAAACAAGCCTGTCCCAGCTCCTACGCCCACACCCTTCCTGGGGATAGAGGGATTCTCATTCTCATGAAATGCAAAGTGCTTAGGGACATGCACGTGTGAGGACAGAGCTTGGCCCAGGACCAGTGTTTCTATAACTTAATGGTAGAATTGCTCCCCTTGGAGAAAGTTGCATGGACACAAGTGACTCACTGATTAAATCCCAACCATGAAGTGTGTTTCTAAAATCAGTCTTAAGTTATTCCACATGTACTTGTAAATATTAGTATAATAGCCTATGTGGCTGAGTTCTTTGTCATCTATCTGTTGATACTAAAGGTGAGAAAGAGCACTGTGTTAAGATTCTGGCGTCAGATGACCTGAGTTTTACAACCATTCCTGACACTGTATCCTAGCTGTGTGCTGCTGAGAAGTCATTTAACCTCAGAGCGTTCAGATGCCGTATTTGTGGAACAGAGATAAAAGGTGTCACCTACACCATTAGGCTGCTGAGAAGAGTAAATGAAATGATGTATAAAGTGCTTGTCAGCATCTCAGACATATGGTAACTATTCAATAAGAACCAGCTATTATTATTATCGATAATTTATTATCATCTCTACCAAATCCTACACTGACGAAAGGATCTCAGAAGTCTTTGGATTCAGCTCCCCATCCAACAATGTAATCCCCTCTTCAACTTTCCTGCCAAGAAGCCTCCTGCCTAGCCTATGATTGAATACTTATTTTGGAAATCTCTGACTTTTCAAGCTTTCTCATACTGAACTAAATCATGCGCAAACCTGTAGCTTTGACCATTTGGAAATACACAGAACAAACGCAGAATGCTTACCCCAGGACGGACCCTTGTGCCTTTGAAAACACGGCTCATCACAGGCTTTTCCTTCCCCTTGCTTGGGACTTTCCGGCCTCTCCTGAAGACTTTCATTTGATCTTTCTCCTTCACTTCACCGAAATCTTGGAGAGAATAGTCTCTAGATACGGTTTCAGCTTCCTCTAGTTTTATTTTCTCTTCAGCACCTCGGCTGTAGAGTCTGATTCAGCAACTCCTGTACGGAGGACGTGCCCAGCTCAGGGGGCAGAACCAAATGAGAAACACACATGACAAAACGGGCCATCTTCTACTGAGCCCTTTACATGTTCCGATCGCTGTACGAAGAGTGTCACGTATATTTTCTCACTTAATCCTCACCAGAACTGGTGTGGGGCATGTATAGTTATTCCTGTTTTGCTCATGAGGAAAATGAGTCTCCAAGAGTTTGAACTGTTTAACATCCTTCCGTTTGAAAGGGGTGGGAGGGCTGGTCATGAACCCCAAGTATAAAAATAGGAATACAGTTGAATGAACACGGGGAGGTAGAAATGAAGTATCTCATCAGGTAATATCAGGCAGGCATTTGTATAAAGGGCGTATTTGTAAAAATAAAAAGAAATGTAAAAATAGCCCTTTTTCTCACATGAGGGCGCTCACAATTTAGCAAGTGCAAACTCACAGAAATGATAACTCACCAGCGACAGCGGGCTAGCAGCAGAGGCTTGTTCTGTGAGCCATCTCTCCCGCCATTTCTTTTCTTGCATTTTAGAAATGGTTTATAACGCCAAGAATGTAGATATAATGCCGAGAAAGAGATGTGCGGGAGTAGGTATAGAGAATGAGAGGAGAGAGAAGGGCATGGCTGCGGCAGAGACGCGGGCCACGCAGATGTGCAGCACAGGGACGCGGAGATGGAGGTAGAAACAGCAACAGTCAAGCACAGCCGAGGACCACTTGGCTTGCACTTCAGGACAGCGGCCGTTGAGGAGGGGATGAGCGGAGGGGAGAGGGAAGGTGGGTGGGGTGGGGGGCAGAGGAAGCCCGGAAGGGGCCGTGCATTCCAGTCCCTTACGATGCGCTGGGGCCCCGAGGGGCAGCCTCGCTCCCCTGCATGCGGGTCTGCACCCCAACGCGGTGGGCGCTGCTCTGCGGGATGCTCCGCATCAGCCCCCATCCTGCGAGCTCGGGCGTGGCCTCGAGCAGGGGACCCACAAACCGGACCCTGCGGGTGGCAGAGCCCAACCGCCTTCTCACCTCCTGACCCCTGTTCGTCCGCAGGCCGTGGGCTGCGACCGGCGCCTGGGGAGCGGCGCGCGCGAGGACAGCTGCGGCGTCTGTGCTGGCGACGGCGCCACCTGCCGGCTGGTGCGCGGACAGGCCAAGGCGCACGTTGCTCCGGAGAAAAGTAGGTTTGCACCCTAATGCGGTTACTCACACCCAACCGTGCTCTCGGCCACCTGGTCCTAGCGTCCGTTTGCCCAGTGCCAAGCGTTTCCGCCAGGAACCAGCGACCAGTGTTCTAAAAGTCGCATTTCTTCCCAAAAGCATATACCAAATTTTTGTTTTCTTAACTACCTGTTTCTCGGAACCTTTGCCGGTACAGATGACTATTTTTTTTTAAGTATCTGCCAATTTTCTAGGGTGAAATATGAAGTGATAACTTATTATTGGCCTTCCTTTGATTGCCGTCAGGATAGAAATTTTATCATGTACTTATTGCCCCTTAATGCCTTTTCATCTTTCAAGTAGCAGCCGAAGTCGCTGGCTAGCTTTTCTGTTTGGATTTCATCTTGTCCTCATTATTGAGAGCTTTTCATATATACAAATAGTAACTGTTTGTCTGTGATGCCTGTTTTAAATATTGTTCCGGTTGGTCATTTGACTTTCAACATTGTCTTTTGAGAACCCATAGTTTCTGAGTTTTATATATCCAGAAATTTCCATCTTTTCATTTCAGTATTTTTCTGCCTTAAAAAAAACCTTTTGATTTGGGGATCAATAGACTTTTTCTGTAAAGGGCCAGATAGTGAATATTTTAGAGCTCTGAGGCATGTGTGTTCTCTGTCTTAACTACTGAAGGCTGCTGAAGCATAGAAGCACCCACAGACAACTCCTCAACAGAAGGGGCTGCTGTGTTCCAATAAAACTTTATTTACAACACTAGGCTGCAGGCTGGATTGGCCCTCGGGTTGTAGTTTGCTGACTTCTGCCTGAAAGGGAAACAAATCACTCATGTGTGTTTTCTGCTGGCACTTTGATGGTTTTGTTTTCATGCTTTAAACTCTTCTGTTCATCTGAATTTATTCTGATGTAACTTATGAAATTGAGATTTTACTTGTTCTCTCCAAGTGGGGAGAACATTGTAAGTGGAGCAAAGGGTGGGGAGGGCTCTCCAGGCAAAGGAAACATGGAATTCATGGTGTGACCCCAGTGGAAAGCCCGGACCTTGGTGGGGAACTTCTGCTATGGCGCAGCGTGGCCGAGGGCATTCAGGAGGGCCCTGCACGGGCCTCATGCTGTGCTTCACGTTCAGGTTAAGTGAGGTCCTTACAGCACTTGAGGCAGTGGGTCTGTACGTCTAGATTGGTGTTTTAGTAAAATAATCCTGGCAGCTCACCTGGGAGGTGAGCCTGGAAACAAGGTATCCAGTTGGGATGCTTATTTTAAATACTCAAAGGTGTTTGAACTACTGGGCCCCGAGTCTGGGGTGCATGGTGGGGGAGGAAGAGGAAGGAACAGAACGGAGGACTATTCAGGAGAATCAGCAGAGTGCATGAGTTCGTTGAGTGAAGAAGCTAGGACGGTGCGCATTTTCCAGCCGGAGCGCGGGGAGGGGAGGGGACGCATACCACAGATAAGGTTTGCCTCCAGAAATTTACCTCCATAAATATTCAATACCTTGGTCCCCAGGTATTGATTATATTTTATTGAGTGATTACAGTCTAACAGAGGTTGATTATATTTTGTTTGTGGTGGGAGGGTCGGTCTGAAACATGCCAGTCCATTATTGCTGGTGGCAAAGTCCCCTGAATGGTGGTCTTTAGTGATAAATGAGGTGGGTCCACCCAGAGAGGGGCCAGAGAATATTTTAGGAAGCCTAGTGTTGCATCCTGAGAAATGTTTGGAAGGAAGGCGTTTAGCTGGGGAGGACGCTTAAGGGAAATGAAAAGAGTAGTGAACACAGGACCGAGGAGAAGCGCGTCCCGGAAGCCACGGCGCAGGCGGTTCCAGAAGGAGGCGCTGGTCAGCCCTGGTAAACGCTGACATGAGGCCCGCTGGGATGAGGGTCCAGATGTTTCTCTCTGGCAATTTGAAGCTCGTTTTGGACCTTATATCAAGGGCGGTTTCAGTGAGTTTCAGGCCAAAACCACAGCCTGCTTGCAGAGTTGAGGGGTGGGCAGAAGGTGGGAACGCGAGGGAAGGGTTCGCCCAGACCAGAGGGGGGCACACACACCCCCCCCACACCCAGAGCTGGCGCGGCTGGTGGGCACGGGGAGAAATTAGCCATGTTCTAGCTCATCGGCCCTTTTTACTCCGCTCGCTAGCGGGGAGAGTCGGCCGGTTCAGGGAGGGCTCCGGGAGACGTGAGAGTGTCCGCGTGGAGGAAAGGAGAAACGCTTCAAAGACAGAGGACAGAGGAGTGACTGCAAGGCTGAGCGGAGGCTGGGAAGCACCAACTCGTGGGGTTCCGGTCCGGTGTGCAGGAGCTGGCTCCGAGCGGTGGGGTGTCACAGAGGCATGCGTGCCACTGCAGGTCACAGAAAACCCAGCTCAGGCACGCAGGAGTGCGTGTCCTTCTCCCAAGGAGCCTGGAGGAGGCAGGCGGGGCTGGGGAAGCTGTTTTCACTGGGCCTGTCAGGGAGCAGGCTGCTCTCTCTCTGAATCATCCTTAGAGTTCGGCTTTTATCTCTGTGGCTGCAAAATTACTATTACGCAGTGGCCACATCCAGACGAGAGAAGGTGGTGCAGGGGACATTCTTTAATACCATGCCCTTCACTCGGGAAGGGTTGTCCTCCCCAGATTTCTCTCTCATTGGCAGAACTGTGGCATGTGACACGCTGGCTTCCTCGGAGCTAGGAAACCAAGTAGATAGCATTCCACCCATTCTGGTTTCACCAATGTTGACATAATGCTTTATAATTCCCCAGGTCTCTTCAGGCACAGGCTTAGCACTGAACTCTGCCAGCCCCCTTACATTGTAGTTTGATAGTGTCGACCCATTTTACAGATAAGGAGACTAAGGACCAGAAATGATAAGGCATCTTAATTATTGCCGTAATCAATTCTGAACGGTAGTACAGGGAAATGGCTAAGAAATTGAAGTCTGGGTTTAATGCTGGGTCTTGCTTACTAGCTGTCTCTTAACATCTGTGTGTATCTTGGTGTTCATTTTAAACTGGGAACAGCAGTACAACTGCCTTTATAAAGTTGTCGTCAGATTTAAATAAATCAGTCATGCCGACCATTCCAAATGGTGTCTGGCACCTAGACAGTGCTCAGTAAATGCTAGCTGTGTTTTTATTAGAAACATTACTCATTTGGGTTCCAATGACATCAAGCCTCTTATGTGCATTAAGTATAAATGTGGATATTTGTAAATCAATAGTCAGTCAATCGAGGTGTTGTTTTTAAGAGAGCAGCTGATGGGTACGGAGGAGAACTTTGTTCACATGTCAGAAAGGCGTGAATTGTAGGAGAAGCCAACTTGGAGGAAAAGACAGGTCAGGGGATGAGGGTGAAGAGCCAGGTTCTACTGCGGAGCTAATTCAGGCAGTGTTTGGATTCAGGACGGGAGGAGAATAGCCAGCCGTGTGCTGGACCAGCGCCCACCTAGCTCTGGCCATGGAAGCATGGAAATCTCATCAGAAAAAATGTCGTCTTGTCAGGGTGCAGGAGAGATTAGAAATCAAGTGGATTTTAACTGAACCAGGGTGGAAGCTGAGTGAAACTGGGTCAAGAAACCAGTGTGCAGAGGAGGCCCCAGACGGGAGGGTCCGGAGCACGGGGGGCTGGCAGGGGCCCATCTGTTGTACCAGATGCCCCTCGGGAGGCAGGGTCGTTCAGATTCTCCCTCTTGAGTTCTTTCTCTCTGTCTCACTCTGTCACATCGATTTTGTATTTGGATTATAGATCCTTTCGAAACCCTTTGGAAAGTTATGCTTTTTTTTCCTCCAGGAAAATACATAAGCTTTTGTACCCATAAGCACCCAACTTGCCATTCTGATTTTTTGATGGGGGGGGGGGTGTCTCAGGCGCCTGATGCCAGTCCAGGACATTCCAAGTTAAGAGCCACAACAATGCTGGTCTTTAGGATTAATTTCTACAAAATGGGAAACTGGAGTGCGCAGACAGGCTTTGACTGCAGCGGGGGCAGTGACTTGTGAGAGGCACGGTGACACGGCGAGAGCTGGGCTGGCACAGCACGAGGCCCTGTGCTTGGACTGAAGCTAAAGCCTGCGGATTCCTGCCCACACAGGGACACGGAGCTTCTCGCCCTTGATTTTCATCACAGCCCCTTCATGTCTGTTTCGGCTCTGGACCTGGCCGCCCGAAGCCGCTCTTGGCTGGGATTTTCCGTGGGCCATATGGAAGCACTTCCCTGTAATCATGCTCTGTGTGAAAGAAATGTGGGAAACGGAGCCACGTCTCTCCCTGAGTGTGCATCTCCAGGCGCCAGTCCACAAGGCTCCTAGCCTCACCTGGCCAGCGGCCGTCCTGGCTCTGCTGGGATGCACGGCCGGAGGACACAGCATAGCACGGCTGCAGGCCCAGGCCAGCTCTGGGGAAATCTCCTAAGGTTGGGGTCCACCTCCCTTGTACGGAGAGGCAGAGTGAAGGTGTGGGAGCCTGGAGCAGTCCCTTGGCTATGAGAAAAGTCAGGAATGAATCCAGATAAAATGCACACATTTCCTGTTCAGAGGAGAAGGAGAGAGACTGAGGAACCAGCGTGAAGAGCTCTGGGTGTTGGAACAGGGAAGCAGAGGCCACTCGGTTTTTAATGAAAAGAAACTCTAACCCAGCAACGTACAAGCAGACACATCTGTTTGGAGAGCCTTCACTTGGCACCCAGGGTCTCAGTGGTATTTCCAGGTCTGTCCGTTGTTTTGGTCTCACGTGTAAGGGTCCAGGCATATTGGACAAATAAATAGATAAGCTCAGCTTGCCTGGGCTGGACTGTGTATGTTTGTACCTGGTGGCCGCTCAGCTCCCTGTTACGGTGATGCTACAGCCAGCCTGGAGCACCAGCATTTCACTTAACTTCTGACATTATGAAGGTCGCTATTTATCAGGCATCCCTCCTCTGAAAAGAATCCTGGGCTAGGTGGGCGGGGGCGCTGCCCCACGGGGTAATTCTTCAGGCATTTTCTTTTTATATGCTCTTCCTTTGTCTTCCGACTGTCACT